CTCGTAAAGTATTTTTCTGAGGTCTGTCTTATCAGGTAAATTACTGTACACAGTGTATACATTAATTTTCATTTTCATGTAGTGTTTTATGTATTTTTAATATATTTATTGGTATTTTTATTTATAATTATTTTATTTATACGTTATAATACGGAACGATTTTGATATTCAAAAATCGTTTAAATGTTAAAAAATTAGAACACAGCTTTGTTCGAAAATTGTTAGATAAAACTGTTTTTCTGTTCGTTGTAATATTTTCCTGACGAGGGCCTCTGAAACACGGCCGAAAACGTTAGAACATTAAAGTTTTTTATCGTTCATGTGCTGGAATTAGCACTTAGGTGTGAAGTAGTAGTTTCGAATGGAAAGCCACAGATAAGTTGAGAATTAACTAAAGTTAACTGTGTCGTACTATCTAAAATTCATGGAATTTATAAATTCTACTCGTGCGTCTCTGGCACACGGGATCATGACTACGCTCAATTCAGAAATGTACAAAAGGAAAACATTCAATAACAAATTGTGCATATGAAAATGTTGCAAACGTATAATTTTCAATAAATATTTTTCATAAAGAAAACGTCTTTCTTATGAATAGCATTATTTCTTAGCTAACGTTCAAATAAATCATTGCAGATCTGTTAAATGAGGCTACAAAAAGTTCTAATATTTTACTGATGATAATAATTTGTTGATGGATTTAAACTATCAATTCAAAAGACTTTACTCAAATTACACAAGATACGCTTAGCTCTTGGTATTCGCCAGGGTTAGGTTTTTTAAAAATGTCGTGAAAACCAAATAAGGATACCTATGGAGAAAATTGAGTTTGGTTTTGTGGAACATTTCAAAGATAAATGTTAATTGTAAAATAAAATATACTCACTTTCATTCTTATNTTTTTGACCGATCGCCATACATTTCCTCTGTTATATATAACTGCTGAGAAAATAAACATTACAGTATTTAAAATGTTTGCTCTAATACTCAAATTATTACTGTAGTGCCTTGCCCCTGTACATCATACTTTTCCTTGTATACAGGTGTTGTGCCGGTCGTCTATCTAACACATTTCCCGGATAAATTTTTGACAGTGGGAATTTATAGGTCTACAGTTTATTTTTTCAAATTACAGTTTAATCGCTACAGTTAACTCTTGAATAATGAAAACAAATTATTTATCATATCGTTCATAATTTGTATCAAACATCATTAATATTTAGTGACCCATGACCCTTTCTTGTTTAGAAACAGAAATGAATGACATAGTAGAAATACAGTCGACCCCCCTATAACACTGTTGATAATTCCGTTTTATATGAATTCCATGTTGTACGAGTCACTTAGATTTTACAAATACGTGTTCCGGGCTGTGAACGGCTCACATATTTCTACAAAATTTAAGAAATATAAATAACATAAATCGTCTGAAAATTTTAATAGAAAGTATTTAATTAATAAATTATGTAATCGTGATTAATAAATATGGAATCCGTTTAATCTTCTAACAGATTAACATAATTCTTCAAGGAGTTTGGTAATTTTAATTCTTCGATTCCCTCAGGAAGGAGCCATTTGGGTTTGAGAGATCCTCTGATAGCGCTTCGACACAAATGCTTCAGTTTTGTTGGAAAACTGAAATCAAATGCATTGGGATAAGGGTCATTTTCGTCACTTTCCGTATTGCTTCGGATAAAAGTCAGCAATTCTTCTTCGTTTTCAAATTGCATCCGTTCCCTTTTAGTAGCAGGAGGAAAAACTCTGGTTAGAATCCGTCCACAAGTGATACTCCTGTTCCAGAAATCCCACCAGATCAAATGCGGTTGAGCTTCCATCTGTTGATCGTCAAGCAGATTCCACAGTATTTCAAATAAACCTTTTAATAAATTGCAACAGGCTTGTTCTTCGGTGACGGTCTCCGTGCGTATCTTAACTGTGGCACCATATTGTAGCACCAACAGTAAATCGTCCACTCTCCATCTCCTGAAGAAATCCATGCAGAGTGAAGTGATTTCTCCGTGTTTTTCTTTAGTAAAGTCAGCCAATCTCATTCCGTTAAATGTCATTTTTGTATGATTGCTATGTTTTAGAAAATAGGCTAGAGGACAATGTTTTCTGGCTTCGTAGTCTTTCCCGTGAGGCTTTAGCCAATGCCTGATTCGAAACAGAATTTGCCAACTGTCATCTTCGGCTATTTTACCTTGTATGACGTCTCTGAGATCTCCATCACAGTCGTGTAAATTTTGCAAAATTTCGCATACCAAAATGCTGTTGTTTAACCACCAATAATGGCAAAGTTTTAATAAATATCCGAGTATTCTTTTCTCAAAACATTTCTCTCTAGCATTCATTTCGCCGATGTCATTCTTCCAGGAATGATATAACTTGATCATTGTTCGCAGATGATTCAAATTGGAAGTGGAATTGATTACGCAAGTGTTTGTACTACGAATCAGTATCTCGTTTACAATACATTGCAGCATACGCTGTTCTATTTCCTTTGTTTTTTTATGTTCCCACATCTCTCTGATTTCATAATGCTGCTGTAGTAAAACCTCCCGAAGTTCTGAATGGATAGTTGAATTACACGTCATTAAGTCACTTAAATACGTAATTAATAAGTCTGTTAATTACAGCTACAATCTTGCGATAACTGTAATTGTAGAGTTCTTTTCTATAGTTGTGGATTTTATATTGTTTCCTAGTTAATTCGTTACGAAAGAATTACAAATTACTATTTACTTTGGAACAATTGGAAGCGATTGTTTAAGCATTTACGAAAAAACGGGGCTTTTGAAATCGAATGTCTAGCTTATGTCTTTGAAAATTTCACTTCTTGTAACAGCGATGGCAGAGTGAATAAGACGTGAGCCTACACGATACAGTCAGTCAGTCAATATCGTTTATTATATACAAAAAAGTACATTTCCGGTGCCGCAATGCACTGCCGGATGTGGAAACATGATAAGGTACAATAATTACAGTTGTTTACAGCAGCGGTCCCCAACCTTTTTATCGCCGCGGACCGGTCAACGTTTGATAACTTTACCGCGGCCCACTGAGGGGGGACGTTGATTGTTCATATTTTACATTGATTTAATTTAATAATTTTAATTTAACTGTATTTAAACGTGCCTTCAAAATAAAATACAATTACACCAAAAAATGAATATAATGTGATTTAACATTTTAACTCACTAGAACGCTAAATCAATGAGAACCCTGAGCTTGTTTCTTTGCAACGAGACAGTTCCATCTGGGGGTAATAG